CACCCCTATGACTGGAATGCCCTCCTTCCTCCACTCTGCCTCTTACTTCCCTGGCTTCCTTCATTTCCCAGCTAATGTCTCTTCTTCTGTGAGAAACCTTTCCTGATCCTCCTTAATCCTAGTCTTTTCGCTCTAGTGATTATTTCCAATTTATCCTGTTTATGTATTGTTTGTACCTAGCTGTTTTCACATGTCTCCTCTGTTAGACTTTGAGCTCCTTGAGAACATGGACTGTTTGCTTTCCTTTGTGTGTCCAGTGATTGGCACGGTGCCTGGCATGTAGGAGGTGCCCGATCTGTGTTTATTGACTCACTGGCTGATTGCCAGATGGCCCATGCACTTAAGACCCAAGTTCACAATCCGTCATATCTCACCTTGCAAAGGAGGTCTGAGTAAAAAAAGCACAGAAGGGGTCTGACAGTCTCAGAAAGAGCTTCAGAACCAGGTGGGGAATGACGTTTTCAGCAATGGCCACTGAGTAAGCAGTAGGGAGGTCAGGGAAGGCCTTCTATGGAGAGAGGAATGGCTAACTAGCATCCTTTAGACAGAAAGCCTCAGAGACACATTGGGAACCAGTCAGGTTATGGCTTTCCTGAGAGCAGTGATGACGTGACTATGCCTCTGTCTGCCCTTAATGGGGAGGTCTCTGGGAATTCCCCCCTGGTCTGGTAGGATGTGGGCACTCTGGTTTCCTGGGAAGCTTTCCTCCTGAGGGACTAGATCCAATGACCATGCTGGTGTGCTCTCCTTCCTGGCTTCACTTGGCCTTTCTTCTCTGTTCCTTCTCCAGCCCCTAGATTGGGTCGGTCAGGGCTCTGGATTTAGAAACCATCCATTTCTGCTCAGTGACATCTTTTTTCTTATTTGGGAAAGGAAGACAGTGGTCTGCCCCAGCCACAAATTCCTGTAGGCATTTGGTCTGTCATGCAATACAGGCACCCAGCAGCTGAACATGTAAAGTCAATTTTTAACATTCATTTTTTAAAATTTTGAGTTCCAAATTCTGTCCCTCCCTTTCCCCCTAGACATTAAGCAATTTGATATAGGTTATATAAGTTCAATCATGCAAAACATATTACCATATTAGTCATGTTGTGAAAGAAGAACCAGACCCAAAGGAAAAAAAAAGAAAGTGAAAAAACAGCATGTTTCGATCTGCATTCAGACTCCATCAGTTCTTTCTCTGGAGGTGGAGAGCATTTTTCATCACAAGTCCTTTGGAATTATTTTGGATCATTGTATTGCTGAGAATAGCTAAGCCATTCACAGTTCTTCATTGTACAACATTAGTGTGTACAACATTCTCCTGGTTCTGCTCACTTTACTTGGTATCAGTTCATTTGGGTCTTTTCAGGTTTTTCTGAAATCATCCTGCTTGTCATATCTTACAGCACTATGATATTCCATTACAATCATATACCACAACTTGTTCAGCCATTCCCCAGCTGATGGCAGCCCCTCAGTTTCCAATTCTTTGCCACCACAAAAAGAAATGCTATTAATGTTTTTTTACTCCCTGCCCCAGCCTTTTAAAATTTCTTTGGGATACAGACCTATCAGTGGTATTGCTGGATCAAAGGGTATGTACAGTTTTATAGTCCTTTGGGCATAGTTTCAAATTGCTCTCCAGAATGGTTGGATCAGGACAGAGGGAAAGCAGTGACTTGCTTGAGCTCTCCTCTAAACCCCTCCAAATACCTGAAAAAAAATGGCTCTAAACAAATTCTAAAGCAGCAGAACCCACAAAAAGACAGAGTGAAACAAATTTCCAGCCCAAGATAACCTGGATAGTTGATCGGAAAGGTATATTGTGCTGGACGGGTAGAGGAGTGCAGTTTGGCGTGGGTGCGTAGGCCGCAGAGGACCTGCAGCAGACCTCAGAGGGCTGAATCGCGGGCAGCTGTGGTGGTTTCCAGACTTCTCCACCCAGGAACGACAAAGACAACTTGGAAGGTCAGTGGGAAAAGTCTGTGACTGCGGTGAGAGAAGGAGCTAGGTCTTAGCCGCAAGTCTCAAGCACGGACCAGGGCCGTGGCTGTTTCCTGAGCTTCCGGCCCACAGACTGAGAGGGAATCAAGTGGCTGATGAGAAGGGGATTGCAAGGTTCTCTTTGCCAGAGCTGAGGCAGGAACCTCTTGCTTTACCGGTGTTTGGATCCGGGTCACGGTTCTGAGGGGCGGTCCTGGGGCGAGGAGGAGTGTTGGCGCGGTGGAGCTTGTTGTGGTGGTGGAGAGGAAACACCTTGCCCCTTATCATACCCCCTTGGAAGAACTGAAAATTTACGGGTCCCTAGAAGTACCTCTGAAAACAGCTCTACAAACCCCGAAGCTTGGGACAGTACATTCTCCACATTGGAAGCAGACTCTTACCTTAACAAAGAGTTTAAAGCTCAAGTAATTGGCTGGGATCATGAGTAAGCAGCGAAAAAAGAGTCAGACTATATTATCTTACTCTGGTGACAAAGAAGATCAAAACATACAATCAGAAGAAGACAATAAAGTTAAAGCTCCTACACCCAAAGCCTCCAAGAAAAATATGAATCAGTCCCAGGCCTTGGAAGAGCTCAAAAGGGATTTTGAGAAGCAAGTAAGAGAAGTAGAGGAAAAACTGGGAAGAGAAATGAGAGTGATGCAAGAAAATCATGAAAAACGAGTCAACAGCTTGCTAAAGGAGACCCAAAAAAATACTGAAGAAAAGAACACCTTAAAAAATAGCCTAACCCAAATGGCAAAAGAGGTCCAAAAAGCCAATGAGGAGAAGAATGCCCTAGAAAGCAAAATTGACCAAATGGAGGAAGTCCAAAAGATTACTGAAGAAAATACTTCCTTAAAAATTAGAATAGAGCAATTGGAAGCTAGTGACTTTATGAGAAATCAAGACACTGTAAAACAAATCCAAAAGAATGAAAAATTAGAAAACAATGTGAAATATCTCATTGGAAAAACAACTGACCTGGAAAGTAGATCCAGGAGAGAGAATTTAAAAATTGTTGAACTATCTGAAAGCCATGATCAAAAAAAGAGCCCAGAATGGTTGGATCAGTTTACAAGTCCACCAACAGTGCTTTAGTGACTCAATTTTCCCATATCCCCTCCAATGCCAGATTTAGAAATTTAGAAAATTTCCTGAAGACTATTAATTGGGGAGGGGGGGTGAATGTGTTAAATACACAGAATTTAAAGCAGACTTCATTTGCATTTTTTCATCATATTGCTAAGACATATTTTTTGTTGTTCAGTGGTCAATTCTTAGTGACCCAATCTGGGATCTTCTTAGCAAAGATACTTGAATGGTTTGCCATTTCCTCCTCCAGCTCATTTTACAGACGAGGAAACAGGCATACACAGTTAAGTGACTTGCCCAGGGTCACACAGCTAGTAAGTGTTTGAGACTAGATTTGAATTCAGAAAAATGACTCTTCCTGACTTGGGGCCTGGTGCTCTATCCACTGTACCACCTCACTGCACCTTTCTAAAATTAGAGGATTCTTTACCCAAGCCTTGAAGGTTACCTGGGACTCAAGGGTGGCAAACTGTGACCAACTCCCCAAAGAGGGGGGGTGATCACTGCATTATCCCCTGTAATTAATTCATTATCAAGCTGGGAAATTATACATTTGACAAACATATGAGTTTAATGTGCATTATTAACATTTTCCCCATAACGTTCTTCAGTGTAGAATCAACAAAACCATAAATCAAGCTCTGATTTGTAGTGCTTGCCAATTTTTGAGGTCACACAGCTAGAAAGTGTCTGGGGCCAGATTTGAACTCAGGAAGATGAGTCTCTATCTACTGAACCACCTAGCTGCCTTTTATTAAATAATATAACACAATATTAATTTTTCTTGGAATCTAGAAGTCATTTACAGACTGTCCCATAAATTAAATGAGCATAATGATTACTTAGGGCAGCTAGGTAGTGCAGAGGATAGAGTCCGGAGCCTAGAGTCTGGAAGATCTGAGTTCAAATCAGACCTCAGACATTTACTACCTGTGTGATCTTGGGCAAGTCACTTAACCTGGTTTGCCTCAGTTTCCTCATTTGTAAAAATGAACTGGAGAAGGAAATGGCAAACCACTCCAGTTTTCTTTGCCAAGAAAACCCCAAATGGGATTTATGAAGAGCTGGATATGACTGAAACAACTGAAAAGCAACTAGCTGTCTCATAATTTACAGGAGCATAGGAGCCATTGGAAACATCTCATAAATTAACCAAGGCCATATCCTGGGACTAGGTGCTAAATCATGGGAAGCCAGTTAGGCTTTGCTCTAAAGGCTCTCCTCAGACCTGCTAACTGTCCATGGTCTGTAAGCCTCAGGTAAGCTCCACACATGTTCAGTAAGACCAGTTGGTTGACTGTTGTCCTTCATGCTTGAAGAGGACCCAATGACATCACTACATAGAGGACAATGTACAGTGAGTGGAACTGTGGCTGATCAGGATAATACAAGTTTAGAAGGCTCTACCACAGGTCAGGCACACATAGTCTATGTGACCATTTGGGAAGGAGACGTCTCTAAATTTGGACATCTCACATTCTTTTGAGCTATTTCAATTCTGCCTTGCTCATAGAGCACAGCGCCTTCTCTGACGAGGACACGCCATGCTGGGCAGTCCTGTGCCAGTGTCTCCCATGTCACACAATCAATTCCGAAGTTCTTGAGAGAGACCTTGAGAGTGTCTTTGTATCTCTTCTTCTGATCACCATGTGAGAGTTTGCCCTGTGTGAGTTCTCCATAAAATAGGCTTTTAGGCAAATGTCATTTGGCATTCAAATAATGTGGCCAGACCATTGGAGTTGTACTCTCTGCAGTCAAGTTTGAATGCTCGGCAGTTCAGCTTGAGAAAGGACCTCAATCTCTGGTATCTTATCCTGCCAGATGATCTTCAGAATCTTCCTAAGACAATTCAGATGGAAACGATTCAGTTTCCTGGCATGGTGCCGGTTTTATAGGCATACAACAATGAAATCAGCACAATGGCTCTGTAGACCTTCAGTGTGTTAGGCAGCCTAATACCTCTTCTCTCCCACAGTTTCCTTCAGAGTCTCCCAATCACACAGAGCTAGCTCTGGCAATGTGTGCGTCAACCTCATCATCCGTGTGTAACATCCCTAGAAAATATACTGCCAAGGTAAGTGAATTTATCCACAATATTCAAACTTTCTCTATTTGCTGTAACTGATGGTTCCACGTATGGGTGGTGTGGTGGTGGCTGATGGAGCACCTGTGTTTTCTTGGTGTTAACTGTTAGGCCAAAATTAGCACAAGAAGCAAAGAATCAATTCATACTCTGTTACTTCTCAGCTTCAGAGGCTGCATTGAGTGCACACTCATCTGTGAACAAAAAGTCATGCACCAACACTCCCTCCACTTTGCTCTTGGCTTGTTAGCCTTTTCAAGTTAAATAATTTACCATCAGTGAGGTAGCTGACCTTGATGCCGCGTTCATCCTCATTGAAGGTGTCTGACAACATGGCTGAAAACATCATGCTAAAAAGCATGGGAGCAAGCACAGAGACTTGTTTCACTCCACCGGTGACCGGGAAAGCACGAGAGCATTGTCCATTATCCAGAATCCAGGCAAGTGTGTCATCATGAAATCGACGTACAATGCTGATGAACTTCTCTGGGAAACCAAGTTTTTACATAATTTTCCATAAGCCTTTGCAACTGACAGTATCACAGAACTTGGTCAGATGGACAAACATTGTGTACAGACCTCTGTCTGCTCCTGGCATTTCTCCTGGGGTTGTCGGGCAGCAAACACTGCATTGACTGTTCCTCAGCCCTTTCTGAAGCCACACTGGCTGTCAGGTAGGGATCATCTTCCAGGTGAAGGATCAGTCTATAAAGGAGGACTTTGGCAAGAATCTTGCCAGCAATGACAGATTGAGACCCCCCCCCCCATTATCAGGTCAGTCTATTTCCTTTACGTCTACAGAGATGGACAATGGAGGCATCCTTGAACTCCCGGGGGAGTAACCCTAACCCTTTTGCCATATAACCCAGAAAATTGTAGTCAGCTTTTATATGAGCAATGGACCCCCTGCCTTCTAAATCTCAGCTGGAAAAGAATCAGCACCAGGCTCTTCGTCACATGAGAAGATCCTAATGGCATTCAAAACCCCTTCTTCATTTGGAACTTCAGCTAGGGAGGGATTGACTTCGGTCCAAATCCATTTTACTGCTTCTCAAAGCTAGATTAACTTGGTCTCCAAACATTTAAATATATGGATAATAATTTTCCAAAGGGAGAGGGTGCCATGTTCCCAGATAACTGTTTCCACTGAAATGACTACGGTATCTGTAAGATTAACCACAAATCATTAGAAGTCAATGAACATTTATTAAGCACCTAAGACGTGCCAGGCACGGGGCTAAGTGCTGTCTCCTAATTTCTCTGTGAGTATTTTGTAGAAAGCTTAAAGATAGATCCTGCTACAATGGCATTTAGGGAAATGGTTCTTTAAGTAACAAAAAATCAATCTATAACAATAATATGATCCCTTGGAGTTGTCAGTTCACTTTACACATATGCTTTTAGATTCAGTCTTCATCACATCCTTGTGAGCTGCAGATGAGGAAAATGATTATCAAGAAATCAAATATCCCAGCATGGGCTAATGAGCATCAGAGGGAAAGCCAGAAGCCATCATCTCTGTCCTGAATCCAAGTCCAGAACCCCTTTCGACTGGATTCCATGCTAACTTCAAATGGGGCTAAATCCTCCAACCTTTATCTTTCCAAAGCTACAAGTGCCGAAATCAACATTTCTAATATGTCTCTAAATTTTATCTCCAGTTTGTTTCTAAAGTCAAGAAGAGCCCTCATGTGCTATTAAGATTCTAAATTCTCCTTGTCCACTGATAGTTATGTTTTCAAATGTGAGGAGGATCTGTTCCAATCATTTTTACATTTATAGTATTACAGGTTGCTGTTATTATTATGTTGTATGTTATTATTAAGGCTTCATCACTGAATGAGCACTGCCTCAGTCAAACTGAGACCTGTTAAGGACCTTAGCTTGAGAAGGCCAAGGATCCCCACTGCATCCAGGGCCATCTCCAGCTGTCCTAATCTATATCGGGCCACTGGATCTAGATGGCTCCAGAGGTGAAAATGAGGCTGGTGACTTTGCACAGCCTTCCCTCTTTTAAATCCAATTCACTCACCTGTCATGGCATCACCTTCCTGATGTCATGTTCCTCTTCAAGAACAGCAGCAGCAGCAGCAGTTACAGGTATGTCTTTGAAACAGGAATACAAATCTGTAGAAATAAAATACACCTTGGCATGTTGAGGAAATTTTGTTGCTGTTGGTCTTTTGTTCTCAAGGAGGACCAAGTCTTGACTTTCCTGTGAATTGGATTTAAGTGAGGCAGAGTTTCAAAAAGCCATCAGCCTCACTGGGGTCCAGCGGCAGGACAAAAGTCAGGATGACTGGAGACATCCAGGATGCAGTGGGTGACCTTGGCCTTTCCGAATGAAGGTCTTGCCAGGTCTCCACCTGTCTGAGGCAACACCCATTCAATGACTAAGGGCTAGGTAAGAATTGAGACAAAAGATGGCCCAATTTACCATCACAAAAATAACAATCTTCGAGGGGAAGACCTCAGAGTTTTGGGCCAGAACAGAAGACAATTGTTATTTACACTCCTAAGCCACCGAAACCTAAACAATTTAGCTCAAAGATGAATGTTATAAATCATTACTCAACCAAGTAAGAATTAACTTAATTGGTTAAATATTCACAGGATGCACTTCATTTATTTTTCTTTAAAATTTTCCCTTTTATTAACAACTTGAAAACCAGCAACAGCATGAACATTAAGAAAGATGACTACAACGGAAACCAGGAATCTCTACAAGTTACAGCTCAGTTTTTTAAATAGATAGACAATTCAAATTTAACATCTTGTAGTTCCTACTCTTTTTTTTTTTCTTTCTGGTGAGGCAGTTGGGGTTGAATGACTTGCCCAGGGTCATACAGCTAGTAAGTGTCAAGTGTCTGAAGCTGGATTTGAACTCAGGTCCTCCTGACTCTAGGGCCGGCGCCCTACCCACTGCACCACCAAACTGCTTGCCTGAATGTCACACCTCCTGAACTTCTGGGCCTAGAGTCAGGAAGACCTGAGCTCAAATATGGCCTTAGATGCTTATGAGCTGTGTGACCCTGGTCAAATCACTTCACCCTCTTTGCCTTAGTTTCCTCATGTATAAAATGAGCTGAAGAAGGAAAGACAAACCACTCCAGTATCTCTGCCAAGAGAACCCCCAGTTGGGTCATGGACAGTTAGACACTATTAAACTACAATAGCAATATACTTCTAATCCATAACTTTTCTGCCAAGAGGTGAGGAAATGGAATTCATCATCAGTCTACTGGAATCATGACTGGGGTCATGACTCACTATTCCCCAGAAATGCCTAGTAAACAATTACTAGGAAAACAGTCTGGTAGGAATTAGGTTTAGAACAATGACTCATACCGCATGGATACATGGGCTAGATATAAAAAGTCGTAGACAAATTAGACAGGCTTAACTTAAATAGCTTGTGAGAATAAATCACACACTCCACAGTTCTGAGAATATTAAAAGTATCTCCCCCTGCCCCCTATTCTAGAGAAGCACAATGAAGACAGGAGTTGGCATTGATCACAGAAGAGGCAAATCAAGTCTGCTGACAGAGTTTGAGAGGACTTCAGAATGCCATAGCATCTGCTTGGGTGATAACATGAACTCTTATTTTCAGGGAAGAGAGAAAGTCAGTCAATCAGTTAGAAAAGAGTTATCAAGGCTGATTGCAAATCTTCAAATGCCTTAATTCTCAATGTAACAAGACTAGTGAAGTGAAGCCAGGGACACTTCCCTAAGAAATTCAATATGATGGGAGAGTGTTTCAACTTGGAGCATTGGATGGTAAGGTACTGGGTAATGAGAGAAATAAGCAATAAAGTATCCATAAATATTTTTAATTCACAGAAATAAAGCCAAAAAAAGGACAGAAGAGGCAGCAAATGAAAAACGTGATGTTGTTATTACCTTGGGAAATTTAACACACATTTACATATGTATAGATATAGATATTAACACACATACATTTATATATATACACTTAAACTATACACAATATGAGTTCACAGTTCTTACACAATTCTCTTTCTTATACTTTTATATTAAAATGTTTGTGTTTCTTGATGATTAAGTTTACAATAAAAAAGACAAAAATTTAAAAGAAATTCAGTATATAAACCTGATTTTTGGTCTCACAATTTATAAATTCATATTCATAAAATCAGAAGATTTTTATTTCTATATTTTCTTCTGTGATATCATAAATTAAATTCTTATAACAAATCTCAGGGGTAAAAATATTTTTACTTACTTATTTCCCATCATATCTTCTGTGGGCAACTGGGTGGCAAAGTGGATAGGGCACTAGGCCTGGAGTCAGGAAGACCTGAGTTCAAATTCTGTCTCAGATGCTTACTAGCAGTATGACTCTGGGCAAGTCACTTAACTCTCTGTCTGCCTCAGTTTCCTCATCTGTGAAATGAGGATAATAATAGCACCTACCTTTCCAGAGTTGCTGTGAGAATCAAATGAGATTATAATTGTAAAGCAATTAGCACAGTGCTGGGCACATAATTGACACTCTATAAATGTTAGCTATCATTATTTTTATTATTATTATCATAGTTCTTAGCATAGTGCCTGACACATAGTAGGTACTATCTAAATATTAGCTGCTATCATCATCATTATTATTATAGTTCTTAGCACAATGTCTGGCATATAGGTGCTATGTAAATGTTAGATGCTATCATTATTATTATTGTTGTTGTTCTCAGTATAGTGCCTGACACATAGTAGGTGCTATATAAATGTTAACTGCGATTATTATTATTATTAAAGATCTTAGCACAGTGCCTGGCACATAGTAGGTGCTATATAAATATAAATGTTAGCTGTTGTTGTTGTCGTTGAAGTTCTTAGCATAGTGCCTGACACGTGGTAGGTGCTATATAAATGTTAGCTACTATTATTATTAGCTACTATTTTCTTGTGATTGGCCAGAACAGAAGGAAAGAATGAAAAGAGTAGATTAAGTAGCTACTCCATTTGGACCCTAGTTCCATTAAGGAAGCTTGGAGGAGTTTCATGCCTGAAAAACGAAATGAAACGACCGACCCTCCATTTCCCCTCTTAAGCTGACTCCAGTCCTATCAAGGGCATTTTTTTTTTAACCACCTCTTCTCCCTGAACAAGCTTAACCTTCTATCAACAAACATGCCTAAGAGATGAAAACAAAGCCTTTGGCAGCCGCCCCTTATTCCTATAGCCAGCACAATAGTTAACTTTCTTCTTTGGGATCTCTTCCATGACATCACACTATTTTTCCTCCTTGCAGAGAGAAGGTCATCAGTGTCCTGGTGCATTCCAGTCAGGTTCTGACGTCAAAAAATGAAAGTGGTTTAAACAGACTGTCTGCCGCATCCTGAGATGGTCCTAAGCGCCATGAAAACGCCTACGGCCTCCTGCTGCCCTCGAAATTGTTTTCCTCCTAGACTCTCAGAAGAAGGTAAAAGATAACGTTTCTATGGGAACCCAGGTGCCTGCAGAGTGATACTCAAGTCTATAGTCCACCTGCGCCCTAGGAGATCGGATTCACAGATCAGGCTTCTAGAGATATTCTGTTATTCCCGCTGTTAACCATCAATGGTGGTAAGGGTCCCAGTTTCATTTAAACAATTGACATCAATTAGCTTTAACAAAGGGATGTTTCCTGAGATGATCCAGCAAGAATGGAAGATACAAACATATTCCCCCATCACCTGGAGGCACCATGTGTATATCTCACTGTATTGCCTTGGTCCCTAAGGAGAGCAGGGTCAGACTTAACAAAGCAGTAATGAGCTGTGATGGGAATCTCTCACTGCATTTAATTATGCCATTTCCAATAGATATTTGGTGAACTGTTTTGTATTAATATTAACATCACTTGGCTAACCTCACAGACTCATGGAATGAGAGAGTGAAGGAAAGACTTTTTTACATTCTTCAGAAGGGAAGGCAAAGGGGAGTTGGACCTTCTCAAAGCAACTGAGTTATTTGTAGAAGGATTCTCCTTATTCTCATGCTGTAAGTATGTAAATCTCCTCTCAAAATCAGCCCACTGTGAACCCTCTCAGTGTAGCTTAGACTGTAGGTAAAAAACTATAGGTAAAAAACTATAGTCTACCTATAAAGTTTTTTTTAACTAGGTTTGTTTCCTTGGAGGTTATATGAGATTATGACTCTATTTAACTAAGTTTGATCAACTTTTATGATATGGAAGGACGTGTGGAATTATAAATCTGTCTTTTTTAATGACAGACTCTCTCTCAGACATTTATTAGCTGTATGACCCTGGGCAAGTCACTTTACCTCTGTTTGCCTCAGTTTCCTGATAAGTGAAATGAGGATAATACTAGCACCTACATCTCCAGGGTTGTTGTGGGGATCAAATGAGATAATAGTTGTAAAGTAATTAGCACAGTGCTGAACACTGTGATAGTAGTAGACGCTCCATAAATGTTAGCTATCATTATTGTTATTATTACTATTATTATAGTTCTTAGCACAGTGCCTGACACATAGTAGGTGCATATAAATGTTAGCTATTATTTCTCTGTCTCTCTGACAAAATTTTCTCTATAAAAGCTTGTCAGATACTCCAATGTTAGCTCAAGATTAATATTACTTTTTTTTTGAATCCTGAACCTGGGCTTACATATAATAAAACCTAGGTTATTACCTCTATAATTTCTGGGTGGCAATAGAATTATTTCAGTAATCTACTACAGGAATCCAAAGAGGAAATATTTCTCCCATAACAGAACATTCACCCTACTAAGTTCGCTTCAGAATATTTGCCAATGGATGCATTGCTCCCACTTGGCCGGGTGAAACAGCTCCCTTGAGACTTGGATCCTCACTGTCTGGGCATGGACTCTAGCTCCCATACCCCTGGGGACTCACGATTCTGATCTTTTGAAGTTGGTGGCTGTTTCCCATACTCCACCTATAGGAGGGTAGAACAAACACAAAGATAAAAAGAACATATTGTTATATGTTAACATATCTACATGTCATATTATGTATGAGCCATCCTAAGGCCATAGCCTCCAAAGAGGAAGGCTGGGAACTTTCTCCCTTTATAGCATTGTGTCGCTCACTCAGATGGAAGCCAAAAAGCCTTCTTTCAACTGGAAAACCAGAGCTAGTGACAAAATGCCTATGCAAGCTCCAGATCGGGGAGCAGCTAGGTGCAGCACTGGGCCTGGAGTCAGGAAGACACAAGCTCAAATCCAGTTTCAGACACTTTCTAGCTGTACGACCCTGGGCAAGTCACTTGACTTGACTGATGTCTGCCTCATTTTCTTCAACTATAATGTAGGGATAACAACAGCAGGGTTGTTGTGGGGATCCAATAAAATCACATTTGTAAAATTCTTGGCACATAGGAGGCACTAACAGATGCTTTCTTCCTTCTATTCCATGTCATCATGCCTTTCTGGAAGCAGGATTCCCCAGGCTCTTCCAAGTGGGGATCGAAATCAACCACTTCCCCGTGTCCCCTACCCCTATTTGAGAAACCAGGAGGGGGTTTTTTTAGGGGGATGAGGTGGGGAGGGAAGTGTACTAGTAGGAAAAAAAATCTCTTCGTGACTTCAGCTGTTTCATGCTTGGTATTTTGATAAGTGAGGAGACAATGGGATTGTTTCTTACGTGTAAGACCATCCGTATTTTTGTTTTAAGGCCTTTAATAGCTGTTTCCTCCCATTTTCTTTCAGGAGTCCTTGACCTTGAAAGTTCTAGTAATCATTTCCATATTTCCTCCCTGCACATTAAAATTGGTCGTCCATTGTTCATTGGGGACCATTGGCCCTTGGGACTCTTAAATCTTTTCAAATGCGTGATTTTGTCCCAGTCTAAGCTTCTCTCTGTTAACTATTGTGGTTGTGTGTGTATGTCTATGGGAAGGGGGAGTAATCACACATGAAAAAGATCCATTTACCCCATAGCTGGCATACCAAGATGTCTCTCTTTCCTCTGGCGAAACATCTCCCTCCTCCCAGCTTCTATGATTCATTTCACGTAGCCTTATACTCCACACTAGGGGACAAAAGAAGACTAATGAGAGTGCTTATGTTGTCTCAGAGACACACGTCCTGTCTAGAGGAGGAGAAGTTGATTTTTAACATTTTTTTTTGAGTTCTAAATTTTCTCCTTCCCTCCCCTCCCCTCCCCCACCCACTGAGAAGGCAAGCAGTGGGCTATCAATTATACATGTGAAATTATGCAAAACGCATTTCCATATTAGCCACGTTACAAAAGAAAAAAAGAGCCAGGAACATCAAGAATGTGGGAAAAGTCTGTTTTGATCTGCACTCAGAGTCCATCAGCTCTCTCTCTGGAGGCGGCTGACATTTTCCATCATGGATCCTTTGGAATTGTCTTAGATCATTGCCCTGATCATTGCAGCCAAGTCAAGTCTTTCACAGTTGATTATTGTTACAATGTTTCTGTCACTGAATACAGTGTTCTCCTGGTTCTGCTCACTTCACTTTGCATCAGTTTATGTCTTCCCAGATTTTTCTGCAATCAGAGGAGTAAAGTTCTGCTCCATCTTGACCCCAGAGACATTTAGTCTCAGACCATGTCTTTCTCTGTCTCTTATAATGATGAGGAAGTAAGGAAAAGAACAATTCCATGTCTACTGGATCACGAGTCCAGGCCCCCTTGCTACCAAGGCAGGTCCAACCTTTAATCAAGTTCACTGGCAGCTTGGGGTAGCTGATGCTGACCAAGTCCCAGACGTGGAGAGTGGCTCGTAGACTAAAGGGACATATTTTGGGTTAGCCTCTCTCTAGTGTAAGAAATAACTCAATTCATGCTGGGTTGGAGATACCCTGGAACGATTTGTATCAAAAGCCAATTCACACAGAGTTAGGATAGGTAGGAAAGGGGGTAAGGGAAATCATTCTGTAATTATTCTTCAATCTACTTCAACCTACTTACCTTTTGGTAAGAGGACACATTGTTCTTAGCACTAAGACCTTCTCCTCTAACCTTATCAAAGATCTGGCTCATTTAACATCAAAAGGTTAGTTTGACATACACTTAAATGAGAACCTGACAAGTGCACAAAGTTTCTTCACTAAAACTTTAATAGAAATAGGGGGACAGTTAAATTTTATTTTATATGTTATTCCAAATTTAACAAACACCAAACAAAACAAGCATTTCCATATATATAAAGCAAATTTAAAAAAAAAAATAAGACAATGCAAAGGTAAAAGGACCTATTTGTACAAAAAAAAAGTTTTTGTGGTGGCCAAGAATTGGAAATGAAGGGGATGTCCATCAATTGGGGAATGACTGAACAAACTGTGGTATATGATTATGATGGAATAGCATAGTGCTAAAAGAAATGACAAGCAGGACAATTTCAGAAAAACCTGGAAAAACTTACATGAACTGATGCAGAGTGAAGTGAGCAGAACCAGGAGAATATTGCACACTTAACAGCAATATTGTGTGATGACCAGCTGTGAATGCCTTAGCTCTTCTCAGCAATACAGTGATACAAGGTAACTTGCCCAGGGTCACCTGGGGACCCAACCAGCCAGAGTGAGGGCAAGCTGGTGATGACATTCCATCAGTATCACCTGTGCAGAAACACAAAGCAGAAGAAAATGAATCATTTATTCAAGGCTCATAAGTGTCAGGCAATGTGCAAAGCTCTCTACAAATACTATCTCATTTAATCTTCACAACAGTAAGTGAGCACCCATTTTACTGTGTAGAAAACAGAGGGTAAGTGCCTTGCCCAGGGTCACACAGCTAGATTGTGTCTTAGGGTCACGTTTGAACCCAGGTCTTCCTGACTCTACAACCAGTGTTCTATGCACCGTGACACCAGTTACCTCAATTAGGCAGAGCTCTGAACGAACATAATCTGATAGCTTTTACAGATTCCCAAGAGTAATCTGGGTGGTTACTTCTGACTTAACTCCTAAGCCTAAGAAGCCACAAATCCCAAAAGAATTGTTTATCTCAAGGAAACCAGTTTAAAGACCCTATTGTAGTGTGAACCAAACGGGATGTCTCTTGGAGAGGGAGTGAGAGAGGGAGGGCTGGGGGTGGGGGTGGGTGGAAATCTAGGCAATTTAAAAAACAAAAGATATCACTAAAAGTTATTTTAGAGAATAAAACAGGGTGAAACTGCAAGTGCAGATATAAATGTAAAGGTAGATATATAATACATCTGTATGGGTAGATAAATAATTGTATAAGTAAAGGTAAACACATAATTATATATATGTCAAGGTAAATATCGGATTATACATTTAAGGGTAGAGGATGATTATAAGGTTAGACATATGATTACATATGTGGAAGGATAGACATAATTATATATGTAAAGGTGGATTATATAAAAATATAGGTAAGAGTCGACATAATTTTGTATGTGTGTGTGTGTTTGTATGGTAATTATATTATAGTATATGTGTAAGGATGGATATATAATTGATACGACCTCAAAAGGCCCAGACCAACCAATAGAAAGTATAAACTTCTTTCCCTTCCTTCCCCCTCCTCCTTCCCTCCCCTCCCCTGTCCTCTTCCCCTCTCCCCCCCCTCCAGCAACCAACCAACTGGAGGGTCGTCCAACGTCAGGAGTTGGACTGGGGGGTCAGGGACAGACCAGGGCTTGAATCTTGTCTCTGATACTTTCTAGCTCGATGACCCCACGAGAATGACCTCAGCTCTGTCTCAGCTTCTTCTGTGCTATGGAGGAAATGATAATACCAAGGGAATCTGTCAAAGAACTTTGCAAACCTTCAAACCCTACTGAAAGGCAGCCGTGATTCGGGGTCCGTTCCCCAAAGGGACTCAACGCGCCCATAAACCAGTATTGTTACTCAGGGTGTCTGTCCCAAGGGCCCAAAAGTAGCACTCGCTCCCACCAGCACTGTTTGTCCAGCTGACCGCAGGTGTCATTTTGCGCGCTGAGATCAATCAAGTCTCCCGGGACTCCGGCACTTGGACCCAAGATGGCATCGGTCGGCCTTGGCAAGTCAGAATTGGAGGAGGAGGAAGCGGAGCAAAAGGAGTCAGAAAGGGGTTTATCTCTTAGAGACCCCTCCCAAGCTCTGCATACCACGAGATGAGAGGGGTGTCCAGTTGAGAAGGAAGAAAATGTTTTAAGTGCTTAGAGATCTCCGTTTGCGGGGCAGATGAGGAGATGGGGAGGGGAGCAAGAACTTTTGGATGCGGAAAACAGCCCCCTGTGGCTGCCCCCCTGCTCTTCAGAGACTTTTTTTCCCTCACTGGGCGGGGTCCTGGAAGCCACGCCCTCTATACTCATTCCCCTACCCCCACCCCCCACCCTGGACACCTTCCAGGCTGTTTGCGCGAGGGACCTGGCACTGACCGGACCCCTGCCGCCGACACCGCTCCCTCGTGCTCGGTGACCAGTACAGGGACCCGGGCCTCCTGGCCCCTGTCCTCCCTGGGGTCGGGGAGCCCCTGCCTTGGGTGCTGAGCGACGAGTGTTAACTGTCTCTCCCTCTGAGACACAGAACCAAATCTACCCTCACTCCACCAGGCGCCACAGGGCTGAGGTGCAGGTCGGAACAGTCCTAGGAGGGGAGGGCCTCAGTTCTAGATTTGGGAGGTTGTCTAGGGACCTGGGGGACTGCTCTCAGGTTCTACGTCAGGACTCTGGGATTTCTCAGAGGTGAGGTCCTTAGTTCTAGGTCTGGGGTCTACATGGGAGGGAGTAGTTGCTCTTAGGTTCTAGGTCTCTACCATCCTGCAGATTGGGGATATTGGATTCTAAGTTCTAGTGCTAGGCCCTAGAGTTCTTCAGGGTTCTTGAATTTTAGGACTATTCTGAGCTATGTGGGGTGGATGGGTTCTAGGTCAGTGTTTCTGAGTTCTAGAGGAACTCTGCAGGTCCGGTTTCTAAGTGTTTGTAGTTGAGTTAGTTTCCCCCAGATTCTGGGGACAACTCATAGTTTCTGGGTCTAAGTTCTAGATCCTGACAGGGACTGGATAGATAGGAGTGGTCTTGGTTCTAAGCCCCCTTTGGGAGCCTTTGGCATCATAGGGGGCAGACGGGCATAGGAGAAGGAGCTGAGTTGGAAGCCACAGGACCTGGGTCAGCCTCTTGGCTCTCTGCTTTTTACCAGCTAACACACGGAGGGTCTGGACTCAGTGATCTCTGAGGCTGTGCCTGCCTAGGGCTGGTGGGAGATGGGGTCCTCGGTGTGAGTCCTCCACAGCTCTTCCCCTGCTCCCTGGCCCCTGCTCTAAGGGAGGACCTGTGCTTTGGGCCTCTGGCTGTGTCCCCCCTCAGCCCCTGGTCATAGGATGGAGGCTGAGAAAGGTACTCCAAAGGCAGTGCACAGCTTAAAGGTGATGTACAGTGAGGCCGATCGGGCCTGGAGCCGTGAGATGGAGTACATCATGGCACAGGTGGGCTTCGGTGTGGGATTGGGCGCCGTCTGGAGGTTTCTTTCTTTGTGCCACCAGAATGGAGGCGGTGAGCTGAGGGTCTAAATGCCTGGGTCTTAGAGGGGCTGGGGGAGGCGGGGCGCTGAGGGACGAGTGCCTGGTTCCTTGAGGGGGCAGAGCTGGGGCAAGGACACCCGAGTCCCTGAAGAGAAGGGGCCAGAAGGGCTGAGAAGAGAGCTGCCTGGGACCCCGTGGGAGGCTGGGGGAGGAAGGAAGTCAAGGGAAGAGCTGCATGCCTGCTTCTCCTCTGTCTCTCTGAACCCCCCAGAAACCTTCCTTCTACTCTATGTGCTGCTGCTTTTCACCCTGGGCATCCCCTTGGTGTTCATGGAGATGGCTTTGGGGCAGAAGGCGCCCTTCGGAGTCTGGACGCAGCTCCACCCCCGGTTGTGGGGCGTGGGCCTGGCCTGCAGCCCAGTGAGGTTGGGGGCCCCTCAGTGCTGCCGGCTCTCCCGGGGGGGAGGTGGCCCAGGAGCCCAGCCTGTCCGAGCCTCTGCCCCACTCCTGCAGGTATGTTTCTTATTATAACATGTTCATTGCGTGGAGTATCTTCAGCCTCAGCAACTCCTTCCAGTACCCACTGCCCTGGAACCAGTGCCCAGTGTGGAAGAACACTAGCATCCCTGGTGAGCGGCCAGCGGGGCTGGGGCGGAGGGACCCTGCCCTGCCTGTCTCTTCCTCCCTGAGTCTCGTCATTCCTGTCCTGGCTCCCCAGATCCCGAGTGTGCCCGCACCACGCCATCCATTTATTTCTGGTACTCGCAGACCGTGGAAGTCACAAGCAGCGTGGAGAAGAGCGGGGGCATCGTCTCGAGCCTCTCCATCTGCCTCTTGGTGGTTTGGATCTTAATCATATTCATCTCAATACGGGGCGTGAAGACAAAAGGGAGGGGAAGGGGCTGGTGACTGGGAATCTTGCAAACTCTGACCCCTGACCCCAGTGACCCCTGGCCCGACCTCTGACAACGCCTGCCACCCTCCAGATGCTGTACTTCTCCATGATGATCTCCTACGCCATCCTGTCCTGCTTCCTCATCCAAAGCTACCTGCTGCAAGGTTCCATTTACGGGCTGCGTCGCTTGGTGACCACCAAGGTGAGGGGCCCCAGGCTCTCGGAGACTCAGTTTTCCCTCTCTGTACAACAGGGGACAATAACGCCCATCCCCTATCTGTGAGTCATACAGGGAGAGCTCTCTGTGTCAGCCACACTTAGGATGATTACTCTAAAATCCACTCTCCGGGGCCCCTCTGCCCTGTCCAGCTGCCTCCTGGGGGAGACCGTGGCCAGGCTGTCAGACTTCCTCCGCTCCCTGTGGGTGTAGCCAGCCAGTGCTCTAGCCTCTCCCGCTCCTGTCCCTCTGCAGATAATCAGCCATCGTCTCTCCGTCTCTCCGCTGCTGTGGAAGCAAGCGGGAACGCAGGTGTTCTACAACATGGGCCTGGGCTTTGGCAACAGCATCATCTTGTCCTCGTATGTAAACGAGTAAGAGCTGTGCCCAGGACGTGTTCATCGTGGCATTCTTCAACCTGGCCTTTTGTCTCATGGCCGCTCAGGTGGTGTTCAATGTGCTGGGTTTCCAGGCCACCCTCTACACCCGTGATGGCTCGAGGGACGAAAGGGAGGCACTTTCTCTGTTCTGTGGGGGGCCCCTGGCAAGGCTAGCAAGCCCGCTAGCCCGAAGTGGAATGAGCTCTAGGTCCAGGGCATGAGCGTCTTTCTGGTGAAGGGTGGAACAGAGGACAGTCTGACTAGCCATAATGTTACTAGGACACTGGGTCATCTGTCCTGGAGAGAATCTAGCCCCCCCCCCAAGGGGAGCCAGGTACTCCAGGGGGCCCCCTCTTGTTTCTGCCTTCCGGTTCTCTGCCTCATCCCTCCCCTACCCCCAGTCCCTGTCCTGACATTCCTTCCAGTCAGGGTCAGGGTTGCTGAGATGCCTGCCGCAGGCCCCCTAGCTCTGCCGGTCTGGGGCCCTTCCTGAAGAAGGAGGGAATAGAGGAAGAGCCAGATGGTGACCACATCCCACCCCCCTGAACCAGGAGCTCTTGGGAGCTGCTGCAGCTGATCGAAGCGGGGAGGCTGCCCCGAGAGGCAATTCCCCCCCGCAGAGCTGTTGAAGAAGTCAGTCAAAGGGTACACCATGTGGTTAAATAAGCTTGACAGCGATCTGAGGAAGAAGGTTCTGGAGCACGGGCCCAACTGCCACTTGGAGGAGCAGTTCATGCATGTCGGTGGGGAAGAGCCAGGAGTGTGGCAGGGGCCGGGGGGGGCATTCCTGGAAGGGGGGTGACTGGGGGGCAGGGTGGGGACTTCTAAAAGTGCCCCCCCCAGGGGAGGTGGCTTGGCGGGGGGCAGATTCCTGGAGGGATGGTGGCTGGAGAGTTTGGGACTTCTCAAATTGCCCTCCCACTGAAGTCATTCGGACCCAGATCAGGGGGACTGCATGGGGGGAACCCTCAGCGAGGCCGGAACCCCAGCTGGCTCCCACTCATCCTGGGCATCCCCCCACCTCTCCCCACCCACAGTACATAGAAGACCCCGGGCCTGGTCTTCATGGCCTTCACTGAAGCAATAACCAAGTTCCCAGGTTCTCCCTTCTGGTCTGTCGTCTTCTTCCTGACGCCAATCCAGCTGGGGCTGAGCACTTCACTGGGGCTGCTGCAGGGTGTCCTGATTCCGCTGCAGCACAGCGTCCCCCGCCTTCAAAATTCCTCTTTGATCATCTCGGGTAGGTGCCGCCCTAAGCCTTAACCCTTGACCTCGGACCGTGGTTCTGTCCAACCCTCCAGGCATCGACGAAGCCCCTGCCCTGTGCCAGGCAGTCTCTGTGCTAAGCACTGGGGAAGCAAGGCCAACCCGTAAGCATCCCTGCCCTCAAGGAGCTTACATTCTACCAGGAAAACCACGTGCAAACAGAGGAGTGAGAGAGGAGAGGGCTCAGGAAAGGCTGCCAGTGGGAGGCCCCTTAGCGGATCCCCGAAGGAAGCCAGAGCACACCAGGCGTGCAAAGGCAGGGACTCTGGACAAACAGGCAGGTTGGGCTGAGACACAGAGTGAGGGAAGGAGAATAACATGGAACAGGCCTGCAGAGGGCTGGGTGCCAGAGGGACTTCGGTGCCTGGCTGAGGAGGGTGGCAGGTTGGAGGCATCAGATTTGATCCACTCGTCACATACCTGAGAACCAGCAGGGCGTATCAAGGTTTTCGAGCAAGGTCAGGCCTGGGCTTTAGGAGGATTACTTAGGCAGCTGGGTGAGGGTGGATCGGAGCATGATTGAGACAAGGATGTCAGTTAGGAGAGAAAGAGAGGGAGAGAGAGGAAGGGAGGGAGAGAGAGATTGAAGGAGAGGGAGGGAGGGAGAGAAGGAGGGAGGAAGGGAGAGAGAGAGATTGAAAGGGAGAGAAAGAGAGAGGGAGAGGGAAAGAGAGAGAGGAGGAGGCGGAGGAAGGGAGGAAGAGGGGGAGAGAGGAGAGGGGGGAAGAGAGAGGGGGTGAGAGAGAGAGAGGGAGAGAGGGAGAGAGATTGAAAGGGAGGGAGGGAGAGAGTGTGTGTGAGAGAGAGTGAGTTTAATGGAGGAAGAGGCCTGGGGCAGAGCCTTAGGGATCCCTCACAGTTAGATAGCAGGATATGGATGATGGCCTGGCAAAAGAGACTGAGGAACAGCCAGATAAGTAGGCAAGTTTCTATTAATGAGCAGCTACAAAGCTAGGGGTCACAAGGCATTTGGGCCATGCCAGGAACCTGCCTGTGAACTTGTACTTGTAGGTTGGTGGCTGTGACCTCCTATTCTAAGGGTAAGACTGGGAGCAGCTACTTCTACTACTGTAACCCACAAGCCCCCACTAGCGTGCTCCCCTTTGACGATTGTCCAGGAGATTCAACAGGCTCTTATCAAAAGTATTTATTCCAATGCCGTAGACAGAACAACCAGCACAAAACATTCCTCCCAATAAATCTGGGGCATGCTTTTCCACAAATACACAGAGCCCATGGGAGGGGATGGGCATAAACTTAAAAGTGGTGGTTTCGAGGCACAAGTGGCCAAGGTGAGTCATAACTCTGGCATTGATTTGATATGATCAGGCATAACTGATAGCATTGAACTCTGGCTGCAGTGATTTCCTCTGGGTGTGATGGATGGTCTCTCCACAGCTGGACTATCCCTATATGGGGGATCCCCATAACATGGAGCTAATACTTCTGCCCCCCCCCCCCCAGGGTACAGTATCTCTGCTGACTGGTGCATCTGCTGGACACCAGAGGCTGAGTCTTCAAATGGACCATGGTAGGTAGCTATTGTGCTCTTTGAACTGGGAGGCAGAGAACCTTGGCTTCGCATTTGCAGAGGTTTCTGTTATTCTGTGGCCTTGGTGCTGAAGTCCTGGACTTTGTCAGCTCCTTGGCAGAAGGCGGAAAAGATACAGCTTCTCCATTTGCCAACTCTCTCTGGTTCAGGGCTGGTTTCCCTTGGTGAAGGATCTCATCCTAACATATGGTGACCATCTTGGAAATTTTCCAAATCTTCATCTTTGCAGGCTAGGCCATAACCAGACAATGACTGTTAGCCCATTAACCAACCACTGTGCTCAGAGGTTCAGAATTTCTCAGGTTTTTAAAACTTTGAGCAGTAGATAGAGCTTTGGGCCTGGAGTTAGAAAGATCTGTGTTCAAATCTTGCCTCAGACACTTCCCAGCTGTGTGACCTTGGGCAAGTCCCTTAGCAGATAAAATGGGGATAAATAATATCATTCCTCTCAGGATTGTTGGGCTAATCAAATGAGATAATATTCATAAAGCAGCTGCATAAAATGCTAGCTTTTATATGCAAATGAGCCCAAGCTTCAGATACTTTATAAATAGAAGAATGATTCAATCCTACCTGAAAGGGATCAAGCTTTATCTTATCTGTGTCCTTCAGCTTCTGGGAAGTCTAAAAGGGACTTCTTGCTGTTGTTATTCAGGCATGTCTGACTCTTTGTGACCCCATTTGGGGATTTTCTTGGCAAAGATTCTGGAGTGGTTTGCCATTTCCTTCTCCAGATGAGGAAACTGAGGCAAACCCGGGTTAGGTGACTTGCCCGGGGTCACACATCTAGTATGTGTGTGAGGCTGGATTTGAACTCACGAAGATAGGTCTTCGCCAGTGCTCTATCTACTAGGCCACCTAGTCGCACATCCCCCAAAGGAGGCCATCGGCGTCAAGATGGAGATGCAGAGGAAAGCGGCTCGTTGGGAACTTTGGGGAGAATAGGGTTGAGAGCCTGAATCCTCGGGGATGAGGAAGGTCACTAAATCATCAGAGGTGGGATTGAAGGAGGAGAGAGTGGGGATGATGTCAAACGGCTTTGAGATGCGATGGGGAGAAGAGGCAGCTCATGGCCGGGGTCTCTGTTTTGTCAGTAAGGTTCTTAGCTGAGGTTCTGGGTGGGGTATGAGGTTCTGTGGGATTCTTGAGAGCAGTTTGGGAGCAGAGCCTCTACCGGGCCGGAGGAGCGCAGAAGAGAGCCAGGAAAGAGCTTTAAAATTGGCGAGCGACCCAGAGAGCCCTGCTCTCCAATCCCATCTCCCCGACCTTTTCCTAACCAGAGACCAACTTGGTGAACGCTGTGACCCCCGGCTGCCCCCCCGCCCCCATCCTCCCTCAGGCTATGCCCGTGCACCTTTGACCTCTGACCCCTGACCTGCCCCCTTCCTCCCTGCCACGGCTGCCCCTTGCCGGTCAGTGACCATTGGCTGCCCGGGCTTCCTGTGTGGCCTCCCCTTCACTCAGTGCTCCGGTCTCTACTTCCTGACTGTGTCCGCTGATTTTGCCATCGGTCTGCCTCTGTGCATCGTGGGCCTCCTGGAGAACGTTGGCATGGCCTGGATCTATGGGGCTAAGAGGTGACTGGGAGCCCACTGAGGGAGCTACGCAGGGAGAGCCAGGCCCTGAAAGATGCGGGGAGACCCAGAAAGGAGATTCTGGCAAACCGAGAGAGAACCAGGGGGACCAGGAAGACCAAGGGAGGCCCCGTGTAACCCAGAGAAGCCTGGGAAGAGTCAGACATTCCGGGACAGTGGGAAACCCAGAGAGAAGCCGGGGGGAGTGGGGGCATCTGGGGAGAGGAGAAGGCCAGGGGAGCCAGGGCTGGCCCCCCCGGGGGTTGGGAGCCCCCGTCTCAGCTCCCTGTGCACGGCCACCTCCAGATTCATAAATGAAGCGTGGGCCACGCGGGGGTTCAGCGTCTCACTCGGGCATGAGTACCTGCTGTGCTGCATCGCCTTGCTGATTTTACTGATCCTTCTCATGTGCAACCTGTGGGAGATGATTCTGGCATAGCCCATCTATGGAGCCTGGGACAGCAGCACTGTGGGCTGCTAAGGCCTGCCCACCCCTGCCCCTCAGGCACCCAGGCAGCCACCCTCGTCCTCACCCCTTCCCTCACCTCAGGGAAGCAGGTGGCCCTCTAGCCGTCACCTCCCCCAGCGGCCAGGCGTGCTCTCTCCCCATCCCTCACCAGTGTTCCTCCCTCCCTTCTTCCCAGCAATCTCCCATTCAGGCACAGTATCTCTCGGTTTCAGTCCTGACCCCACGGCACCCCGAGTGACCTTGGCCACCTTTGTCTTCACGGTCCACAGAGTCGCCGCTTCCCTACCCGCTGTGGGCTGTGATGCTGGGGATTAGCCTCATCTTGCTGTCCCTCCTGCCCATCCTGATGGGTCTGTTAAAGTGCCCAAAGGAGCCGGTCATATTGCCACAGCCTCAGGATTCCTCTCCCCAGCTTCTGCTGACTTCCTCCCCGACCTTGTCCCTGACCTCGTCCCAGGATCAGCAAGCAGCCTCCTCCAGGAAGACCTCAAGGCTTTCTGAGGCCCAGGCTGCAGAGGCCAAAGAGGAGGCCAGCGGGCCGGTGGGACAGCGCAGCCTCTTAGCCCCCTCAAAATCCATGGGAACAGCTGTTGGGCATGCTAAGAGAAGGGACTCCAGGTCAGAAGCTCTGCCAGGCACTCCCTCCCCTTCCTCATGGGGCTAGAGAATCCTCACGATGGTCACCAGCAGCCCCTACCTACACAAGAGCCTCTATCCGACTAGGGGTCCTCTAGCCTCTTTCTCAAGCCCTCCAGTGAGTGGGTACCCCCATCTACCTCTTGTGGCAGCCCATGCCACTTGGGGGCCACTCTTCTTGGGAAGAAGGTTTTCCTGAAGTTAAGCCTTTTCTGGCCTCTGAGACATGTCACCTTGGCTTCTGGATCCTTCCTTCTGGGGACAAACAGAAGGAGATGCCCATGCTCCATATGCCCTTCAAGCACTAGAAGATGGCGCTCTGGTTTCCACTGCCTCCCCCACCCCTTCACTAAGTTTTTTCCAAGCTGACTCTGCCCAGTTTTCAGCAGATTTGCCATCCTGGTTATCCTCCTCTAGACAACTCACTCCCCAGCTTATTAATGTCATTTTTAAAGGGGCCCAGAACTGAACAAAATACTCTGGAGGGGGGTCTGACAGAGGCAGAGTATGTGCTGGGTATTCTATACAACCTCAGATAACATTAGCTCCGTTGGTTGATATGTTACACTGTGGATGCACGAGGAACTTGTGGTCCACTAAGATTCTCAGATCTTTTTCAGATGAATGCTTATCTGTTCATTCCCTCTATCTTGTATTCATGAAATCAATTCACTCAGGTGTAAGGCTTTTCTTTCTTATTAAATTAACTGAGATCAATGCATGACTTGATCATCCTAAGACAAAGTATTCAGGAATAGAAACTAATGGTGTCATTCTTTCTCTCAAGGGACAAAACTCTATACCTTAGTAACGCCACCTGTTCCCCTAAGTGAGTAAGTCAGCAGATGATCAGTTATTCCTTTCCTGGATGACTAAATCTGCCTAGTAACCAGTCATATCACCCATTCCTCCAAGGACTGGATCTGCCCCATGACCAGTAATGGCAGTTGATCTGAGGGATCTTGGATATCGCCTCTCTCCACAAGGACCAAATGTCACATCAGCAACTCACCTGTAAGAGTTAATCTGCCTAATGACCAGGGACATTACACACTCCTTCAGGAGATGGTGATGAGTATTGTCACCCTCTTAGAGGGTCTCATGAAAGACTGCAGAGTCACAAAACCACAGAGTTGAAGAAACCCCAGAAGCCACAGAATGGTACTTGTATTCAGCCTCTCGTCATGTGTTCCACCATCAGAACCCCGACTTGATCATTTTCATCCTCTATCTAGATTCAATACCCTACCCGCTGCTTAACAGCCTGCATTCATTAGACTGACATAGCCAGGTAGGAATTGTCATGCAAGTCCTAGGGGGCAGGACTACCAGAAGACCATGACTCTCATTTGGCCAGGGACATACTGCTTCCTTAAATTTCCCCCCAGCAAAGAATTTGCAATCCCTGCAAATCACCCTGGGTACATGGATGCATTTGTAAAAATATACATTCATCAATTAGCGCATAGTGTAATCAAAATCATTGCAACTACACAGGAGACCTGCAAGAACCTGTGACATATTATCCACATTAGAAATAAGTATGACAGACTTATGGTCCATGCAGAAGCATGATGCAAAACAGATAAAATCACCTACAGCATGTGCCTTACTCGTCTAGACCAAACGCATAGGACACATGACAGAACACACATGCGGCATTCAGGTTTTCCGAATGCTTTATGGAAGGAAGGGCATTCTCCTCCCCACAAGGACCCATATGGTCCTAGAGAGCCCAGAATGTAGTCACAAAATGTAGACAATCAGGCATTTTCCTACAACCCCCCAAGAGTCCTTCACTTCAGAGAATTGTGGGTAGCTGGTATTAGCCAGGAAGCATCTTGTGGTCGGTCTGCAGTCGTGTCCCTGGCACAGAGTTCCCTCTGTCATCTCCCAGTCCTAGATGCCACAAAAAGGGCTCTCCACATGAGCTAGAGAACAAACATTTTTTTAAAGCACCTACTATGTACCAGCCACTGTGCTAAGTGGTTTGTAGTGGTTTATCACATTTGATTAGAAGGCATAGAGTACTTGGCACATGGTACATGGCAAGTGCTTAATAAATACCCATCATTGGTGGTCTTTATACAAAGTCTGCGTGATCATTTGCTGGGTACATTGGAGAGGGCATTCTAGTACAGATAATGGGGAACTGGATGGCCATCGGGATCCTTTCCAATTCTAGAATTCTGTCATTCTTAATGCAGCCAAAGAGCCCTCCAGCATTTTTGCCTGCCTTCTTGCGCAGTTGACTCATATCAAATTTTTAGTCGTTAACCATATTTTGGGGATAGGGTGGGGATGCTGTTGCAGGACTGTTCTCCTTTCCAGGAGCACCTGCTTCACATTGCCACCAAGACCAAAAGGTAGGAAGATTCAACAGTCTAGCAAGCAAGTGCACCTCCTAGGGATCAGATATTCAGAATACTGCTGGCGTAAACCTCCAGATGGACCTCCAATCTCAAACTTCAGCAGCTTCCAAGTCCCTTTCTTTGGGCATGGGAAAAGGCCCCAGCCTTTTTTCTTCTTCTGAAGTGTAAGTCTAGAGCATGGATATAGAAAATATAATTCATTTGACCCAATTTACCCCCACCCCATTTGAGATTTTTATCTCCTTCCTAATTTGGCCTGACCAGAAAGTATTGCCCACACACATTATAGATTAGATAACATTTACTGAAAGGAATCAAAGTTAATAGGCCACTAAAACTCATGAATGCCAGAGCCGCTGGCCTGTGGCCAGGCATGGCCACAGTCTGCAGGGTAAAGAGAAGGAACTGTTTCACATCCATTCTGGGCTAACTCTACCTAGATCTCAGATCAGAAGGTCTGTCTGTTGATACTAGCTATGTGACCCTGGGCAAGTCACTTAACCCTAACTGCCTTAAAAAAAAAAAAGAAAGGTCTGTCTGTGCATGCTGTTGTGCATTAACCCTGTCCCTATATTACACATAAAAGTGAAAAGCTTTTACAGAAAATCAATGCATCCAAAATGAAAAAGCAGTCAATTGAAGAAAAAAATCTTCATGTCAAATATGTTTGATAAAGGTCTTATATCGAAAAGCATTCCCATGTAGATATATGATCAAAGGATATTGTTTCCAAAAGAAGAATTGAAAAATATATATATGAAAGAATAATCTAAATCACTAAAAGTAAGAGAAATGCACATCAAAACAAACTTAAAGTGGTGCTGCATACTCAAGAAATTGGCAAATATGATAATATGACAATAAAAGATAGTACTAGTCAATGTTGGGGAGGGGATATGGCACAGATGGGGAACCTGCAGCCTGGAGGCCACCAGTGGCCCTCTAGGTCCTCAAGTGCAGAACTTTGACGGAATCCGAACTTCACAGAAAAAATCCCCTTAATAAAAGTATTTGTTCTGTAAAACTTGGACTTGGTCAAAAGGCCCCACCCAATGACCTAGAAGGCCACAATGTGGCCGTGAGGCTGCAGGTTCCCCACCCCTGGGATATGGAAAGAGAGGCACACTAATGCACTTTTAACATCAGTGGGGGCTGTTGTTTCAGCTAAAGAGGGCTGGGTTAAGGTGATCAATGATCATGGGCCTTTTCTGACTTTTTCCCTTGGTCTCTGGAGATATGATCAGTTACAAAGTTACAATAACTTTGTACAATACAATAACTCATTTTAACTGCAGCAATATGATGATCTATGAGGTCTGTATAGTTTCCTCTGCTCCTTTAGGGAGTTTATATTAAGAGAAAAGGTAGGAGTAGTATCACAATAGCTCAGAGCCCCCAGTCTAGCAAACTGCTCACATTTAGTCAGAGGTTTAGTTCTCTGCCCCAATTTTAACATTTTATAAATGGAAGCCTATCTGCAGGAATATTGTATTAAATTCCTAGTTGTTTCTCTTTCAAGAATTTGCTTTTTGGCATTTAAAAAGCATTGGAATTTTTTGTATTAGCCACTGTTCTACAGTAATGCCTCTTCTGCCTTAAAGGATGACCCAGTGTAATTTTCTTAAGGTTGGCCCTTCAGTAGTACTTTCAATCTTAATATTCCTTGGTTCAGGCCTTCAGTCAGTCAGTAAATTGTTATTGTTGTTGTTGTTCAGTTGGGTCTGATGCTGGACTCATAATTCGAATTTGATCATTATTTGCCTTTCTGAGGGTAGCAAGGGAAAATATTTCTGAAGAAAATTTTTTTTCTCAGTCTTTTTTTTTTTAAAGAAAAGATTTGGAATTCAGCTTTCCATCAGCACAGTTGTGAAGTCTGATCTTTTTTGCCTTTTCACGTATTTTGCATTGATTATTTTGCCTCAGGAAAAGGGAATCAGCATTTATTAAGCACCTACTATGTGCCAAGCACTAGAGATACGAAGAAAGTCCAAAACTGTCGCTGCCCTTCTAATGGGGGACATAAATAAGAAAACAGCTAGCTACACACTGAGTCAATGGAAGTTGCTTGGACAGCAAAGTCTGGATCTACCTTTTCTGCCTTTCTTTCTTCTGGCCTCTGATCTGGCTTCTCCAACTGCCTTTCAGCCACCTAGAACAGGACGTCCTGTAGAAATCATAAACTTAGCATGTCCAAAACTAAACTCATTATCTTTGCCCATGAACCCCCTCCCCCACCTTCCCTGTTACGGTAGAGGGCAACACCATTCTCCCATCCCTCAAGTAGTCTAGGAGCATGTTGTCTCCCCCAATAGACTGTAAGCTCCTTGTCAGGCCAAGGACTGTCTTTCACCTCTTTTTGTATCCCCAATGCTTACTACAGTAGCACATAGGCCTGGCACATAGTAGGTGCTTAATAAATGTTTATCGATTTGAATTGAATCCTAATATCCCCATCTATAACCTGTGGTTCAAATACCATTTGCATGAGACTATCCTCCACAGATGAGATTAATCCTTCAATGCTCTGAACTGGCTTTCTGATGGTCAGAGTTGGTGAGAGCTGGAGAGAAGAGAGACCCTGGGCTTCTGGCTTCCAGCTTTGAGCAAAAAGACGTGCAGGTCCAGACTCTCCTCATGTCCCTGGAGAAAGACAGAAAAAGACATAGGAAATGTAAAGGTGCTGGCACCCTATCCCCACACTAGAGACTTTGGGGGCATGTCCCTTCAGGAGAGGTCTGAGACTCTCTCCCTCATTTCGCTGAACTGAAATCACCTTGGCCCCTGTTGGAGCATTCATTTTCCCTCTGTATTAGCTGCTATGTATACACACACATATTATATACATAGACACACACACAGACACACATATACATAAATGTATAATACATATATACATATGCATACACACATGTGCACATATATTTTTTTCTCCTGTACATACGTTCTCTGATTTGTTTTGCTAATGGCTTGGGTGGGTTTCTTCGCTATTTGTTTACATATGTTCACACATATGTACATAGGTAGATGCATATGTGGAAGACTAGCACCTCTGGTGGGAGGGCTGCCAAGCCCTTGTCAGGGTGCTCCATCACCTTTGTGCCCACTTTTCACCCACCTCTCACCTGTGGCTCCAAGAAGCTGTAGCACACAGGGCGGCCACACCTGCTAAAACTCTCAGCAGGCTAGCTAAACCAGGTTAAGACAAGCAACAAGCTTCAGACCTGTTGGTGAGTGGGGGAACGTCTTCCCGAGCATGTAAAGAATGGACCAATGAGAACAATGTGTTCCAAAGGCCATGAAGCAGGCTCTGTGGAGCGCTTGGAGCTTCCAGCCGTGGAAGACGCCAAGGTCATCCACTGCATCCCAGGCCATCTCCAGTCATCCTGATTTTTGTCTCGCTCCTGGACTTGGAATACTCTGAGGCTGATGACTTGGTGCATCTCTGCGTCTCTTAAATCCAATTCACGCACGGGTCAAGACATCCCCCCATGATGTCACTGAGCCTCTTCAAAACGAAGGATAAGCAAACCAACATATGTTCGTTATTGATCTGGCATCTGGTGGGAAGGCAGTCAAGCCTTGGGTTTAGCACTTAGGGTACTCCTTTCCCCATGGAGGAGCAGCAGTCAGGAGTGCAATTTTAACCTAAAAATGATTTCCCCTGAACTAATATTTAAGGGAGGAGATAGATACCATGCTAGCCTAGCACACCCTTTCTCTGAGGAAAGCAGAGTAGCTAGCCTCTGGCTCCAACCTTTCATTGGCAAGGATCAAAGTCTCCCTTTGGACAATGGTGGTGGTGGGGGGAGTGGGGCTGGGGGGGGTGATGCGGGAGGGTAGGGGGTAAGATAACCAAGGCTTATATATCTACCCAATATCTTTTCTCGACTCCTTGGGAGCCGTATCTAGAAAGGTCTATGTGGGCACACATAACCTACATGGGTGACACCCATTCAACATTCTAGCAGACATCCCTACACTTCAATTAGCATAGGGGCTGGCACACAGCTGTCACTTAGTAAACGCATCCTGGCTTGTTTGGTTAAATCATGCGTGGGAACTTGTGGCCTCCAGGCTGCCTGGATTAAATGCAAAGGAAATGCACAGTAACTTCCCAGGATGGAGGAGGTCAGGAAAAGCCTTTTGTGGGAAACCACACTTGAGTTGAACTTTAAGGAAGCTAGGGATTGTCAGAGTCAGATACAGATAGGGAAGTAGAGGTTTAAGTGACTTGCCCCCATCACACAGCTAGTGAGTGTCCAAAGCAGAATTTGAACTCAGGTCTTCCTGACTCCATGTCCAGCTACCTCTTTCATTAAGTACAGAATCAATCAATCAAATGTATGTATTAAATTTGAACAATTTCTGCACGTCAACTGAATCAAGCAATCAAGCTAAAATGTAAACAAGGTTTGAGAAGGGAAATGCTTTGAGCCACTGGATGAAATCAGAGAAGGAAATGTCTTGGGATTGGTTGAGTTAGACACACCTCTGGGCCTAGGTATATCAGAGAAGGGAAGGTGTTACCCCAGAGCATCCCACCCCTACTCCACTTATCACTGGAAACACATCCAGCCAGGAACTGATAGATGACCAACCTGCTGGCTAGGGAAAGGCAGCTTCAGGGAGCAAGGATAGAACTGAGGCTTCCCCACAGCAGAGCTGACATTCAGGGCCCAGGAGAGCTACACATGCCTCTAAGGAACTTCATGAGGACTCTAGGAAGGGGGAAATTTTTCCACCCAACCAGGAACTGTAAGTTATCCCTTTATACCATGGGCTCTCTAAGTTTGAGTCTGTACTTTTCCCTGGACATCGATGTGTGTCCCATACTTCCGAGGGTATGTTTTTTGTACCAATTATTTTTATACTTTCTGTGTAGATACCCCTTTTAAAAAGCCAACTCTGGCTGGAGAACATACCAGATGGGGGCTCGTGAGCTACAGTTCTAGAAACCCTTCCCAGCTAAGGGAGTAGGAGCTTTGAAGTAGGAAGTGCTGCAACAGGATCCTTAGATTTAGACCTTCAGAGGTAGAAGGGACTTGAGGCCATCAGTCTAACCTCCTGATCTTACAAAGGAGGAAACTGAGGCACAGAGGGTTAAGCTAGTTATTGTCTGAGTCAGGATCTGAACCCAGCTCTTCCTGACTCCAACGGCAGTGCCCTGTCCGCTACGTCATGCTGCCAAAGGTCTGGAGACAGGACATAGAATGGCCTGTGTGAAGGATAGCAAGTTGACCGGAGCCATGATCCGAAAGGTTTTAAAGAGTTTGTATCTTATCCTAGAAGCAATAGAGACCCTCTGGAGCTCCTGTGCTTTAGGAAGCGTGGGCTGGCAGCTGCATGATCAAGAAAACACCAGAGATACGGTTTCCTGAGGTTCCAGCAAAAATCCCCAGTGCTGTTCCTGTGGACTAGTGAGAGATGTGATGATCATAGAACCATGTGGCTCTGGATCCAGTTGACAGGCCTGATCCAAAACGGAGGCAGTAAAGACTTGTCACCTTGGAAGGAAGCACCCCTGCAATGGCAGGATCCAGGCTTAGCCCTGGGCTGTTTATGGGTACCTGGATAAAGGTAGAGCTTACTGTAAAGCACATTCGCACAGGACTCTCCCCTTTGGTGGCATCGACCCAAGTCTCCTTGTCTGCTCTCGGGCACAGTTGCCTAGAGCTTGGGAGAAGGGAAATCCTGGTTTTCTGGCTGCCAGCTTGGAGAGAGTGGAGATGTGGTTCCAGACCCCCTTCAGGGCCCTGAACATGGAGACGAGCCAGAGCCTCAATCGTGACCCCCTTACTATGCCAGAGGTTCTGAGGCATTTCCCTCTGGGGAGATCCGGACTGAGATCAAGACCTCTGTGTGTTTAGTATGCTCTCTTCTGTGTAGCCGCTAGGTGGCGGCATAGTGCAGAGAGTGCCCAGGCCTGGAGTCAAGAAGGCTCGTCCTACTGAGATCAAACCAGGCCTCAGACACTTACTAGCTGTGTGACCCTGGCAAGTCACGTCACCCTGTTTGCCTCAATTTCCTCACCTGTAAAATGAGCTGGAGAAGGAAATGACAAACCATTCTGGGGTCTTTGCCAAGAAAACCCCAAAAGGGGTCACGAAGAATTGAATAAGACTGAAAAACGACTAAATAAAAAGTTCCTCCTGGGATTTGTTTGCTATTGATTGGATAAATGGGTTTATATGCTACAGGCTATGTGTGTTTTTTTGCTGAACTGGCATTTGGTGCATTCTGATCATGTTACTTTCCTACTCAATAAACCCCAGTGACTTTCCTGTAGTCTTCAGGAACAAAACATCTCTCAGATATCGCCCCTTCTCTCCTCCGATGCTGGCCCTCATTACTTCACACCTTAATTATTGCAATAGCCTGCCTTCAGTCTCTCCCCACTCCACTCCATCCTCCATTCAGTCACTAAAGTGATTTCCCTAAAGCACACCCCACCCCACCCCCACTCCATAAACCTCCAGGAACCAATACAAACTGTTGTTTGGCATTCCAAGCTCTTCCTAGCTTAGCCCCTTCCTGCCTTTCCAGCCTTCTCACACCTCCCTCCCCAACACTCTTCAGTCCAGTGATGCTGGACGGGCTGTTCCACGAACAAGACCCTCCATCTCTCCGCCCGGGGCATTCCCTGTGGCCGCTCTCCAACATACACACGCCTAGGACGCTCTCCTTCCCTCCTTTACTCCAGCTACTGACCTCTCTGGCTTTCTTTAAGTCTCAACTGAAACACCACCTTCTATAGGAAGTCTTCCCCAACCCCTTTAAATTCTAGTGCCTTCCCTTTCCTAATGATTTCCTATTTATCCTGTATATAGCCTCCTTTGTACCTATTTGTTTGCATGGTGTCTCCCCCACTAGACTGTAAGTTCCTTGAGGGCAGGCACCGTCTTTTGCCTCTTTCTGTATCCCTAGTACTTAGCACAGTGCCTGGCACATGTTTAATAAATGTTGTTTATTAAACAGATGTTTATTAAATTATTATTATATTTATATAATTAATAATATATATAATATAATATATATTATATATAATAATATATAATAATAATATATTATATATATGTATTAAATTATTATTAAACAGATGTTTAATAAATGTTCATTGATTGATTGACTCAAGACTTGGATAGAGAGATAAAGATGCAGCTATAGGATACATGCATAGATACATATATACATACACATATATATAGAGAAAGGAATTACAGGTATAGGAAACATCTAGTAGTTGTTTGACCAGAAAGTATGTAAGAATCCATTGAACTGTCAGTGTTTATCCTGGTAAAGACAAGACTTTGGAAGGAGGGGGAGAGAGTTAAGATGTACGTGTGTGTGTGTGTGTGTATACACACATATGGATCCTATATATCTATATGCAGAGATGTATATCAATATCTACAGCTATATCTAGCTAGCTTGAGAACTCCTTTCCCCTTTAGGGACAGTGATCAGGAATGTAGCTTGAATCTAAAAATAATGTCCTCTAGACTAACAATATTTAAGGGGGCAGATAACTATAATTCTAGCCTCTGGCCCCAACCTCTAGCAGCCTCTGCCCATGAGTGCCCCACCCCTCTTCCTGGTGTGTTCCCCCCACTCCCTTAGGGCCCACACAGATGGGACCCTGGTGCTCAGCTCTGTGCTAAGTTGGTTTAGCCACATACCGTAGGTGTCGACTGGCTTTTCAGACAGGT